GAACCCAAGATCTCTATACAATTTAATCACTTCGTTGGGCTAGCCCCATCCTACACAGGCCACGTCAAACCGTGATGTCACCTGATATGCCAGCTATGCAGCTGACCAGAGCAGTAGTCAAAACATGGAGAAAATTAAAGTGTGTGGCTGTTGATTAGTGGTGTGTATCTAAAAACATACAGGACATTCAGGGACATGTCCGAACAGTAAGCCTCGGAAAATGTTATAATTAAGATTACAGCTGAACATATCATGCTACTAGCAATATTCATCTGCCGGCAGACTCTTCAATCTAGTTGACCTTGGCCTAGATGCAGCCTGCAGAACTCATGACAATGAACTGAGCACCCAACAGCCTGAGCTAGACATCCTGTCTGCCTTACACATTTCTAGACAACAAATCCCTAAATATCTACCTAACTAAGAAAATACCTAACACTATCAATGTCATTAGCCTCCGCAAAATAATTGAAACGCTCCGTGTAGGAGCTCCACTGTTCTGTATTTTCATCGAACAGACCAATACTCCCAATGATCCCCGCCATGTGGACTTCTTTCTTAGTCTCGTAGCCCAGTTACTCAGTCACTGTCGCCTCTCACTCGCGCTGTCGTAACCTGTCCTCCAGTCAGCTAATGCTAATCAGCACGCTAGCGTGGCGGCACACAGAAGAAACCAGGCCGTGCTGTCTCACACTCCGAAAACCGCTGGGCATCTGTGTTTTATCCTCGTCGCCACTTTTGTTGTGTCAGTAGTATTCCTTCGATTTATACTAGACCCAACAAGAACAATCGGAGCAGAATGTGCCGTTCAGTACTGAAGAACAAATCTTCTTATCAATCCTTTATCTTCTCTAAGGACCACCTAGGAGAAATAACTGTGATGTAGGAATGTAACATGGACTGCAAATGTGGTTACACCTTCTATCTGCTCATTCTCAGGCAAGTTGATGCAAGTTTCCATCTGTCCATGTGAAATGCAGTAGTAGCTGTTAGCTTTCACACAACTGCATGCATTTCAATGTAATATGGAATGCATGTCACTTGAAACTCTTCACAGTAACTGCAATTTCAGGTGAGTTTTTCAAAATGGATTATACATAATGTTTATCAGTTAATCACTTTTCCTTCCTTCAGTTATTTTTACATCCGGGTCACAAACAGTACCCAACTACCCCAACAGATGTCAGTACAACCCACATGCACAATACATGACACACCAAACCAAATTTAACACTGTAAAAGGCATGACCGACATTCCTTCATGCATTATCTCCTCTTCATTCACTGATTACAGGAGTTATATGGCGCATGAAAGGTCGTAAACATAACTTGTTTTTGTGACAGCACAACCACAGCATGTGAAGCAAATCCAACGGGTGGACGACTTTTAAAGGGGGTTACACAACGTTAGTCTCAAAACTTTTACTCGCTTTACGTTATGTTTTAAAAGCTGGTATAACTATACCCTTGAAATTGGGCAAAGAATGAAGAACGTCATTTTATAAAACTTAAGGCAAACAACGCAGCTAGTCAAACTACTACAGGAGGTGCGTGAGAATGCCAAAATAAAGCAGGAATATTTCCATTTATTTTCAATATAAAAGTACCCTGATCGAGTAAATACAAAGCAGACAGAGTAGAAATTTGGGATGACTTATTGTAAAAGCTCCGACAAGAAATCTGAAGCTTAATGCATGTCATTTTTTGCACGGATATTATTTTCACTTGTTGACATTGGTCAGTTTGTCTGGAAGACAAGAAAGAGGCAGATTGTATCTAGTCCCCTTGTTGCTGGGGCACATTTTAGCGGGAGGCGAAGTGAGCATTTATTCCATTAAAGCAAACGGTGTTACTTTTTTAGCCACTGACTGGAAGACGGATTTGTTAATAAGACTTTAAACTGCTGCCAACTTTGGCTTTTGACGCCTGATGTGCTAGCTGGTTAGCTGTTAGCTAGCTGGACCGCTAACCTCCAGACAGGTAGGAAAACAAGTCGTCACCATATAAGAAAAAACTTTCAAAAGCAGAGTAACTTACGTTGAAATTGAGTGTTGAACTCGAGACAAAATTGTACTTTTCATTCGCGAGGGCCATGCAAATATGCCCGAGCTATATGTCATCTAACTACCACATTGATAGCTGCTGCAGGAAGGACTGCGTGTAGAGCAGCATGTAACGCTGACAGCGCAGAGAACCATGGGAAATGTAGTTCGCATAGATCCGGCTGCGTCACATTCCTAAAGTGGGCTAGAAATTAATTTCCCAGCGACTCTTGTACAAAGTTAACTCCATGTGTAGCAGTATAAGATTGTTTGCACTGTGGTGTGCCAGTGTCCACAGTCATATTACCGCATTGGAACCAGCTGAATTAAATAGGTAGTTTCACACAACGACGTAGTGAAAAATGTTTATAGTCTGGCTTTAATATACAACAGAAATTTAAACGTGTCTATAGCATATAGTTCTAAATGTGTATTACACCATCAAAATGCACACATGAGCCATGTGCTCCGGCATCTGCATTACATCAGTTCCACCAGAAGAGGGCGGTCTGCTCACAGATTTATAGCTAGAACTCTTTGTGGGACAATGTATATACAGTATATACTGTATATATAGTGAAATGATTACAGAATCAGGGAATTAAGTTTCTATCTATATGTAATTAATATGCATTCTGTCTTAATAATTTACCATCTGAAATTCATTACAGAGATCGTCCCTGATCTGATGGGAATTCAGCATCATGTTCATAGATATCCAACATAGTTGATGCTTGTTGACAGAGGGCTTAAAGCCAAGTCCTCCAGCAAGAGCCTCACCACTAAGTCTTGCTAACAAAGTGCTGCCATTTTCTCTCTTTATTTGTGTGCACACATATGAATCTGTGATTGAGCTTCGGGTACACTTGGGGCAATAGCACACATCATGTTGCTTCAAGAGCCTCCATCTTAGCTCATGGTTAATCGACCAGCCTGTCAAGAGATTAACTGTGATCTGAGGACAGATCGATTCTGCATTACAGATCTGAATTGCATCTGTGATGCTTGTTGTGAGTCCACTTGTCTGCAGTGTGGGCTGACAGGGAGGATAGTCATTCTGTAAACAACAGTGAATGCTGCCAATGTGGTTCCTGAACTTCAGTGCTACATGCTAAGTAGAACACATAAAATCAACTCTCTTGTCTTGTCTTGTTATTAAAAACCTGTCACATTTAAAGTTGCTCCATTCAATATTTTTATATTAACAATGGACCAAATGTTTATGAATGAAGTGAAACATATTCACAACAATTACACCATAGTGGGGTGAATTTTCAACTTAAATTCATCAGGTGAACAGAAACACAACTCCAAATAAATGAGAACATTATTACTTATCTATTAGTTATAAGGCATCTTCTTGTTAGTATTGTTTACAGCTGTTGTGCTTCTCCCATAAGACCAAAAGACAACTCATGCAGGCTTAAATATCCTTTCAGACTAATTTTAACTAAGGAAGTTATTGACTTTACAACCATTGAAGAGGATGGAGAGGAATGTTGCATTGAACACATTTTGCAGTGTTCCCCCTTGGATGTTTTTTCAGCAATAGTACTGAAACACTGGGCATATATTTCTGCCTGTTGGTTGAAGAATAGCTTAAAAGAACCTCTGCATCATTAAAGATAGGGTTATTCATGTTTACCTTGTCTGTGTTATTTTACTGGAAACATGTGACACTTGAAAGGCTCTGAAGGCCCAGATAGCTATGGTAACAAATGTCAGAGTGGTATTTTAGTTATATTTGTGCTGCATTTGCCAAAGAAGTTAACGGTAACACTTTATAATAACTACACCTTATTCATCGTTAGTTAACCATGAATAAGTACTTAATTAATGATGAGAAAAGCATTAATTAAGCATGACTCATACTTAATAACACATTCACTAACGATTTACTCCTGGTGACTAAGGTCATGCATAAGGTGGTTATTCGCTGTTTATTCATACTTAATAAAACATGAATAGATGATTTATTAATACTGCAATGCATGAATATGTCAGGGAGTTGTTAATTGTTAGTTACTGTTTATTGTGATCCCTTCTAAAGTGAAGACTGTTTATGGTTTATTAAGCATTAATTAATATGTAAGAAAACCCAAAAGTGCCTCAAGCTCTTTTGAGCTGTGGAAATGCAGATCTGAAACAGTCAAAATCAAGACATGACACAAGGATACAGAACATATTTTTAACATATTAAGTGTTACCAAGTTAACTAATTAAGGATGCTCTGTTAGGAGAGGTAGGTCTACTTCGTTTCTCTATGTCACTTCTCCAGAGTGAATTAGCCAGCAACTACATAATTAGAACAACTGTAAAAATCAATTGAAGAAGACAGTTCAGCTATATATGTGTTCAGGGAGACCTTCAGAGGTGTGAAGTTTTATTTTGTAATACAGTAGAAAATAAGTGGCAGGCATGTTATATGGGAGACAAACTAGGTTTGCACAGAATCTAAGCATCTCATTATATATGGCCTTATGGTGTTTATACATATCATACACAGCCTAAACACATTTCATCTATTGTATATTAACTTTTTGTACTAGCATTAAATGAACCAGCTGTTTTCTGAAAGAAAACAGAAAGTCTGGTGTTGCACTGTAGTCCTGAATTTAAAGGTTAAAGGCAGCTTAGAACAACTGGGGTGGAAGTGATGGATGGGATAAGGTACAGTTAAGGGGCAGAGTTGGTAGTAATAGAAGAAAACAAAAGAAAGTGAGAGTCCCATCAGCCTTTATGATGTGCTTTACAGAACTTTACCAAGATATTTGTTGATGTGTCATATACAATATTTGCCGGTTGTAGCTCTACACCAGCTGCTGAGGGACATGTTCTACTATGTGCACCAGCTGGTAGCTGACTTTGTCCTTCTGCATATTTGATGCTGGACAGGAAGTGTGCAGTGGATTTATCAGAGCTTTTCACAGATACACTGCCTGCTGCTCATTGATGGGAGCTGTGACAGTAAAACAAAACAGTTGAATTTTGAGCCAACATGAGCTTATGCTGTATTCAGTTTGGACCAGAGGTTGAACATTTCCAAACTCCTATGTGAAAAAGTATGAGAGAATGGCCCTCAAAGTTATAACTCCCACTTGGAAACTAGGCCCAATTCCATGTACCTGGACTTCAAGCAGGTGCTCTGACAACACTCAGTATGGAAGCCTTCACAGAAACGGGTTTCAAATTGTGTTAACTGAATAAAACTCAAGATGCAGGATGTTTACTTAGGCTATGTTCATAAATTACATTTTCTGTTGTGTTTAGATGACTGACTAACCTAAGGTAAAACATTATGTGTGGTGGCCTCTTTCCTTATGCAGTTCATTCACCTCTGTTTTGTGGATATTTATACTGTAAGATCTACCGATGTCGCAAATATTCATTAAGCTGTCTGCCGTACACATCATTAAGAAGACCTCTTTCTCACTGTCAGCCATGTTTATTGCTGCAAATGAAGGTCACAGTTATGTTTCATACAAAACATATTTGTGATTTTTAATTAAGGTTCTATCAAGGTTGGGCTTAAAGACTACACATAACATACACACAGAATTACACTGGGGTAAAGAAACAAAGAGGTGGATTTGAAGGTTTTGTAGGCAAGGAGGGTCTAGAAAAAACATGCTGTTGGTTGCAGTATGGGGAATGTAGGATCCAGGGTGTTTGCTCCCCAGTATCCGCTATATACATTTTCAACATTCTTTTTCAATCTATTTCAAGATCCGAACTTTGTGAAAATGCAGGACTAAGTCACTTTAGTGTTCCACAGTAGAACAATCTCACAATGCCCTGCTGTCGTGTGACCCAGATTCATAAAATGATTGAAGTGTTGGATAGATAGATAGATGAATCTTCTTTCTTTCTTTCTTTCTTTCTTTCTTTCTTTCTTTCTTTCTTTCTTTCTTTTTAATCATTATTATTATTTTGAGATGGCATCCTGTAGCTTTAACTAAAGAAATGCAAGACTGTTACTACTGCTAATAGGCAGCTCTTACTTTTTAGGAAGGTATTTGCATGGAAAAAAAGCATTTCGTCACTGTCACTTCTATTACAAAAAAAAAAAGAATGCCAAATTTTCCATGATTGCACATTTTCAGTTTGTACTTTCTTACCTTTTATCCTGCACTTACAGTGTTGAAAGTACTGAAAGCGGGTGCACCAGTGGTATTTTCCCTGAGGCACCAGTGAATCAGGTGATGGCTGAAGAGCTCACAATATGCAATCTAATTCTTAAAACACTCAGACCACAGAATTTGAGGCAGTCATTTGTCTGCAAATCATCAAGGTTGTTGAGTCAGGAGAATGGAGATGGTGCAGACAGGATAGAGATGAGTGTGTGAGGTGTCTGTCAACTTCTCTGAAGCACACTCCAGCAAGATCAGAATAGTCTAGCTCCCAGGGTTACCATTTGTTTTGAAGTGGTTAGATTCAGCAGTCGAGATGGGCTGTTTATGGATACAAATCTTTGGAACAGTGTTTTCATGGCATTTACTGTTTTGTTGATTTATTTCTTGCTGCACCAGTCTTGTACGTTCAGGCTGTTTATAGTCATTAGGAACCACTATGTCTTAAAAAGAAGATGTTCCTGTGCTGCAGCCAGTCACCAGCTGCTGCTCCTATGGTAATCTAATACGAGTGGCTGGCTCATCTTTCAGATTTATCTGATATCAGGTGGAAGGCACTGATGAAAATGGATCCATTACTGCAGTTACTAAGAGAAAGAGGAACAACTTGACACAAGCAATAATAGCTGTACTACTGATTTCTTCTGACTATTTTCATACTTTGGGACTTCAAAGCAAACACAAGTAAACACTGGCATAAGTTGTGGTGAGAATCATATTACTGCAGAACAATATTATCCAGTCATAATAGTGTAATAATAACTTAGTGGGGGGATTTTTCTATACAAATTCAATTTTTTACTTTACTTTTTTTTTACTTTTACTTTTTTTAAATTAAAAAAATAGAAAGTGCTGAGCTGTCTATTACTGTAATGCACTTCTTTCCTCTGCAGTGCTGGAGTTTTCCTCTGGATCCTCATGCGTACAACTGCCTTTTGAGAGTCAGATAAACAGCATTATCTGCAAGTCAGTCCAAGAGCCCCTGCAGTCAATATTAGTGATTGCAACTTTTTCAGTGAGATTGCAGTAAGTTTAA